GGGGGGCGGGAAGCACACAGGGGCGGTCCCCAGGGCATGGCCTCATGCATGAAGGTGAAGAACAAAGGAGAACAAGAGCTCCGAGTTCTGGTTTCAGTCAGCAGATTCGACTTTTATCAGAACACAGCTTAATGACACCACGCCCACAATAACCTACAGCCAGCAACCGTTCCTGATGTGGAAAATGTGGAAAACTTGAACCAAAACATCCCTCCTAAGCACCGAAAACATTGCCATTATTTTTGAAATCTCTTTTCTTAACTTACCAATGGCTCTTTCGATCTTGCCCATAACCTGGTTATTGGGGATTGCTCTTCCTGATTCATAGTCAGCAATAACTTGTGGTTTTTCATTGATTTTCTAAAAAGAGAGGATGCGCCTTGAACACTGGCTGCATACACAACAAACACTCAGCACCAACACCCCAGTACTCACATAGATAAGTAACAGCCTCTAATTATGCCAGGATTGGAAGACAACTTGCTACCTCCAAGCTTATTCCATCACCACTATCACCTCCCTCCATTATGTGAGTGTCACAGCAATGGTGACCCATCCTGGACAGATCTCTACTTCCCTCAGCCTCCCAGGAAGAGCAGTAACATTACGTATTGCTGTTCCTTAAGACAGCAGTGAGCTTCTAAACACTCTGTCAGACCCCAATGGTATAAAAAACCCTCACATCAGTGCTGAGTTGATGGGAGAAAGGGGAAGGCCTCCTACCAGCTCACCAGTCACAGCAACACTCCATCTCCAAGAAAGTGTTCAAGGGCTGCACAGATAAACCCCTAAAACATTTCCTAGATAACTAATGTTGCCTGGAGATCAGACATCAGAAACGCTGCATTCACCAAACTTCCTGTTCATGATACCATGAGGAGAGAGGAAAAGCAACCACCTTCGCTTTGAGATGCCTAAACCTGCCTCAGGAGAGCAGGAACAGACGTCAGTGGGCCATACTCACTGTGGCCAAGTCCTTTTGTGTCATGCCCTTGCTCTGCCGGCCTTGCTGGATCACTTTGCCCACCTCCAGAGGAACTCTGTCATGGTGCAGCTCTTCTGTTTCTCGGTCAAGCTTGGCAGTGTTCTTTGTAATAAAGTGTTGTTTGTTTTGGCCGGCTGCCCCTATCATTCAAAGCAAGAACAACAAAAAAAAAAACCAACAAAAACAACAAGGACAAACAAAACAAGGCTCAGAGCTATGCCAAGAAGTATCAAAGTGCTTTTTCTAAGCACTCAGCTGCCCAGGATCCCAGGGAGCTTTCAAGATTTCAACATGCCAACATCAGCACTGATCTCAACCAGCTCCTGCCCGTCAGAGAACATGTTATCTTAATCCTGTTAATGTTGATGTCCAAACACAGCCATGCAGGGCCCTCCCCTTTCTCTACTCCAGATAGGCAAGAGCTTGCTATTGCTTGGGGATTTAATATTCAAACTTTATTCCAGACATGTGTGTTTATGCTACAGCATGGGGGGTTAATCTTTGAACTTGAATCATGTTTGCTCAGGTATAAGGCAGCATAAGTAAGTGGCTTTTAAACAATTTAATCAATTTTCTGACGCATTTTACAAGTAAACTCTAACCATACTTGGCTTTCCTGAAAGCCTGAGGTTCAAAAACATGCTATTTGTTTTGTCTCATTTTAGTTACAGTATTAAGTCACAGTTTGAATCTTTTCTCTAACGTTCAGTCTCTTGATAAAGCTGACTAAACCTCGTTCAAGGTTCATCTATTTATTTATTTATTTCCAACCATCATAACCTCATCCCTACAGTAAGAGAACCTGAGAATTCACATCAGACAGGAAATTTTTAAAGAGCAATGCCACAGGAAGATAAGCAGTCATTAAAATCCTTAAGCGTATGTTATCAACAAGAGAAATTAGCTGCAAAAACCGGCAATTTAAGTCTTGCGATCATGCAAACTCTTTCAAAAGCTTTGCAGCCATTAGCCAGAGTTCAGCTCTGGGCAACCAGAAACTCGGAACTAGACACAGGGGACTGCTCCCCCCTTCCCCGGAGTACTGCCCATCCACCCTGGGGTGCCTGGCAGTTCTCAGGGTCTATGCTGCCCCAGTTAGGACGACCTTTGACTTAGCTGGTACGTGCTGCCTGCT